CATGGAATCAGATTCTCAATTCCTCCTTCATCCTGGGGACTCTGAAAATACCACAGGTTGCTCCTTTTTTTGGGTTGTGCTTGGAGGATGAATCTCTGCTGTCTGAGCTGCCCACCTTTAGTACCTGTGTGATAAAATACAGCATTTCCTCAGTCACAAAGAAGTAGAAACAGAATGATTTGGGTTGGAAGGAACCTTAAAGATCATCTTGTTCCAGCCCTGGGCAGGAACACGTTCCACTAGAGCAGGTTGCTCACCCAGCCTGGCCTCATACACCTGCAGGGGCTGCACCAAGAGCCCCTCTAGCTCTGATTTCCTCCTGTTTTCTCTCCCAGCATCATTTACGAGGTGACAGGGATGTGGCTCTTTGGGAAGCTGTTCTGCAAAGTCTGGATCTCCTTCGACGTCATGTTCTGCACCGCCTCCATTGTCACGCTGTGCTTCATCAGCCTGGACAGGTACTGCTCCGTGGTCACCCCCTACCACTACTCCAGGAGGATGTCCCGGGGCAGGTGAGTGCAGCTGCTCCTCCTTTTGGCTCCCTCCAGGCTGTCACTGGCCATGGCCTGTCCCTGTCACATTTTCTCAAAAATCCCTTCGCCGGGATTACTTGTCTTGGCAAGTTGAGAAGCCTCAGAGAAAAATGGAAGCAATATTATCTGATCTGCTTCTCCTGTGTTTTGCTGCTTTGGGATGTGGTTTGGACATTGTTTATCAGCTGGTCATTGTTTGATTGGTTTCATGTGAATTGTTTTGACTTAATGGCCAATCACCATCCAGCTGTGTCAGGATTCTGGCGAGTTACGAGTTTTTCATTATTATCTTTTAGCCTTCTGTCTGAATCCTTTCTCTATTCTTTAGTATAGTTTTAGTACGATATGATATAATATAATTATAATATAATGTAATGTAATGTAATGTAATATAATGTAATGTAATGTAATATAATATAATATAATATAATATAATATAATATAATATAATATAATATAATATGGAGTCAGATTCTCAATTCCTCCTCTATCTGGAGGATCCTGAAAATACCACAGTAGCCTACATTGATGTGAGGCTGGAATGAGCTCAGATCATTCAGGTGCTGCCCAGAAGCAGAGTGATGTGGGAAAAGGAACTTTCACCATTTAAAACTGCAGAAAATGCTTAATGTGGTGTAGGAGAGGACAAGGAGGATGCAGCTGAGGTTGTGGGATGGTGCTCCTGGGAGAATATTTTTTGAGCTAAGGAAGGGTTGCAAAATGGGGTAGAAAGCAGTGATATGGGCTGAGTCGGACCTACAGGTTTTTCCCTGTGCAGTCAGGAATTTCATAGAATCACAAAATGCCTTGGGTTGGAAGGGACCTTAACGATGACCTTGTTCCATCCCCCTGCTGTGAGCAGGGACACCTTCCACTAGACCAGGTTGCTCAAGCCTTGGCCTTAAACATTTGCAGAGATGGGGAAGGACTTTGAAGAACTTCTAAGGACTAGGTGAAAGGAGACCCAGAAGGATGCATGTAGCAGTAGTCCTCCCTCTCTTAAACTCACCATCTTTTCTGAAGTGATAGTCAGGGAAAATAAGGAGAGTTCCTGAGCTCCCGTGAGGGTTTCATGTGAAAGGCTGAAATGAGGATTGCAGGGTGGGAAAGTCATCTGAGGGAGGGCAGAGGACACTGCAGCAGTGGAGTGCTTTACAGGGTGGGTTCAGGCATGTGTTCCCCACTGTCACTCTTGCTGTGTGTGATTTGAGGATCACAGGCAAAGAGAGGAAAAGGCTCTGTGTCCCCCCTTGCAGATTCTGCCATCTGGTGTCCATCAGCTCCATCCTCATCAGGCCCCAGAGGGTGAGATAACGGCCAGATACTAAAGCTGAAAGCAAAAATATCTACATGCTGTTGTTTCAAATACTAACAAACATCTTCTGTAAAACCGTACCTCATCTTCTCTCAGCCAGCTCTGAGCACTCCTTGAGCTGACCCCAGTTCTGTCGACTACAGACCAATTACCCAGTTGTTAGAGACACGCAAGTCTGGACTGGTTATAGTCCAGCTTTCTCCCTTCTGCACACCCTGCTGGACTGCTCAGCAGCGATATCCCACACAGGTTACCATGGGGATTGAAATGTACTGCATGTTCTCAGCCCAAAATTACTCAGACCCTCCCTCCCTTCTGCATCTCTTTCCTTTTGCAGATGCATCGTGATGACCTGCACGGTCTGGGTGTATTCCTCCCTCATTTCCTTCCTTCCCGTCATGCAAGGCTGGAATGAGATCCCCGGGGTGGACTTTGACGCGGGCAGGGAATGCATCTTTGTCACCAACTGGGTTTTTGCCATCGTGGCTTCTGCCCTGGCCTTCTTCCTCCCCTTCATGGTCATGTGCAGCATGTACTTCTTCATCTACCGAGCCTCCCGCCTCAAGGCCACCCGCATCATGTCCCAGACGCTGGAGATCCACTACCACCCCAACAGCAAGAGGCAGAACCACCTGCAGCTGGAGAACAAGGCCACGAGGACCATCAGCATCATCATCTCCGTGTTCGTGCTGTGCTGGCTGCCCTACTTTGTGCTGAACGTGTGGCTGGCGGCCAGGGGCAGCGACTCCACCAGCTCCGTGCTGCTCGGCACCTTCAAGATCATCACCTGGCTGGGCTACTGCAACTCCACCATCAACCCCCTGCTCTACGCCTTCCTCAACAGGGACTTCCAGCACGCCCTCAAGAAGCTGCTCCTGTGCAGGCGCAGGTCTCAGGTGGATGTTGGGGAAGACATGGTTTCCATAGCCACCTTTTCCAAGACCGCTCCAGAGCTGGAATACAGCACGGCGGTGCCCAACGGCGCCCCCAAGGGCAAACCCAAGTCATAGGAGGAGCAGTCGCTGGAGGCGGTGATACAGAAAGCGCTGGAGCACGTCCCAGTGGAAAAACAAAGGGTAGGAAAAGAGGGGAATCAGGGGCTGGAATATTACAATACAACAAAGATGCATTTCTTCACCTTCCACATGAAGAACTCAGATATTTTAGAGGCAATTTGTTATATATTAATGGAACTGATTCATTCCTGGATAATTATTTTTCTAATGAGCATTTTCTAAGACAAATTCAGCCTTCATTTGGGTTATTAGAAAAACCAAACCAGTATGGTACAATGCGACTTTACATTTGTGCATATCCTGGTGATTTGTGTCAGGTGGGACAGTGCTTCTTGTCAAGCCACTGTAGCTTCTCACCTCGAAGTTTCATTACAGACTTGACCAGTTTTAATAACTCCACCTGTGCCAGTCTGTGTATGGGAATTAGAGGAGGGGTATGCTCACTTCCTAAAGAGGCACCACTCTGCAGCGTGGGCTGTTGCTCAGGGTTCAGCTCACTGGCTTCTGCAACATCTGGATATTCAGAACTTTCCATGGCCTTCTTTGAATTATCTGTGGATTTCCTTGTTAATTTTGGAAGGGGACATTCCCTGTGGCAGACCCCAGGAGATGACAAACACTTGCTGTAACAGCAGGAGCACTGCAGTTTCAAAGCTACAGTGGCTGAAGATGGGATGTGAACAGGAATTACTGTGTGTACACTGTGGTATCTACCAGAGAGACATAAAAAAAAGATAAATGGAAATGATTATTATTACTACTGCCAAGTGCTCGTCTGGACTTCCAACAGCACTGGTTCCCTGCAGGAAAGCCACAAGTGCCTCACTGAAGGGTTACTCTGAAAAGCTAGCAGGGGAATAAAATGCAGGGGTAACAAAATGCAGTAGGACCTGGCTGGAGCAGCTGAGCTACTGAAGATGCCAGCACAAGGGTCAGGAGTTCTGTCTGAAGAGCCTGGTAGGAAAAACAGCCCTGACCTGGGGTTCAACAGTGGTTCTCCTGTGAAATGACTCTCCATGGAGAGGGTGAGGCGTTCCAGATCCTACAACTCCAGCAACAACATGGAAATGGTAACTACCTGGTAACTACCTACACCTTCTTCTGAGGGAAGCATCCCGTGGGCACAAAGGTGACAGGGCAGAAATCCTGCTGCTGCCACCCAGCTCATTTTGATATGATAGGACAAGGAACGGGGTTTCATCCCCAAGAGCTACGGGGGAGAAAAGGAGCTGAGGGATGGCAATATCCTGTGAAAGAACAGGACAGCACAGCAGAACCCCAGGCCAAAGTCCCTTGTGCAGGGCTGTGAGCTCACAGCTACCCCAGTTTGGGTGTTCTGGTGCAAAACAGCTGGCAGGAAAGTACACATCATTCAGAGGAAAACCTCCCAGGTTAGGGAAGAGCCTTTCTCTGTCAAACCCTGGAGCAATGAGGGACAAAGGCAGGGACAACACACTCTAGTGCTGAGAGAAGCAAAGACTGAGCAGGCAGAGCTGAGCAAGGCCAGATGCTTCTGTGGCTGGGCAGGGACCCCGCAGGGGAGGACTCATCCACCCCTTTGAGGGCAAATGTAACATCCCAGAATAAGCAGACACACCTGGTGTGAACACATATGCCAGTTCTGCTACTGAAATGCTGCAGGGCCCTTGGAATAGGCAGCTACCCACATCCAGCTACACAGCAAGTTAAAAATACCTTAATCCTCATTTCCTGTGCTCCACCTGTAATCACTGAGCTGGCAGGGAAGGCAGGGGCTCCACACGTGGCCATTTACTGTGCTGCTGATGCAAACAGGGACATGCAAGGAAGAGGACACCCTTAACTCTCCTGCTGTAACCCAGCCAAACACAAATTCTGTTCCTGATCAGACACTCACTGCAGCATTGTGGTTTCACCTGGACGAGCCAGTATCTGGGAGAGTTATCCAAGAGGATGTGGAAGACAATCATTGTAATCTACTTCTGCCTTATCACAGAGCTGCAGGGTGTCACAGTGTCACACCACAGCAGAGTAATCCCCAGGAGGATTTGAGTCCATTATCTTTTTAGGAAACTGAGCTCAGACACTTTAACAGATTTAAGTCTGTAAAAGAGAAAAATAAAATTGTACAAGACCAGCTGTAACAGCATAAGAATTATCCCTTCTCCCCTCTCTGGTGAGCAATTGCATCCATAATCCACCCAGTTTAGAGCTCAATTCCCTTTTTTCTCCAGCTCCTGTCTCCCTTCCAAGCAGCACATTGGGTTTTGCGTCATCACACACGCTGTGGCCAGTGTGAGACAGGGAAGCAAAGGAAGTTTCAGGAATGCAGAGCCCATCCTGTTCCCACTGCACAGGGCTGCCACCTGCAGCACACACCGATGCAGGCTTCCAACACAAGCAACTACTATTTTGTCTTATAAATAAAAAAAGTTTATTAAATCATTTAGACTTGAAAGAAGTCACAGTAATTCAATGCACTCAACAATTACAACAAGTGCATCCTGTACACCACCAACCCAAATGGATTGATTCTGTATTTTATAAATAAAAATTAACATATTTACAGTGAGAAATAAAAGCATGGCATTAGGCAGTTAAATTAGCAGATTACACAAATGCCTACCAGTTGATTTTTTTTTAAAAAGTACAAATCTACAAGATTACATACGACATGTATGACTTCATTAGGTTTAAATTTTCAGAATCACAACATTTTTGTACATAATTTTGACTATGGCTCTTCCAACCACTGCCTATAAAACCCCCCATTTAATGGCAAAAAGCTCCTTTTCCTTCTCTACAGCTTCATCTGTGTAAGATGCATTCCCTAAGATCTACTGTAGTGCAGAAGTATGAAATGATTTCCTCTAATGACAGGCTATGGACAGTGACAATATGTACAACTGTGGTACTTTTTTGCTTTAAAAATAGTGCAGATTCCCAGTTTACCCACCAGGGACAAAAATGGAGTCAAAGTTAATTTCAAAATCATCTTCATTTCACCAAAGAGCAAGTGACCCGGATAGACACTCACTAGGCTTAGAGACTGTAATTTGCTCTATAAAAATACAGTATTTTAATTCTATTTACATGTTACAGATCTCTCACTCACCCAGCAAGCTGACATTTACAAGCTTCAAAAAAACCCAAGAAACCCCCCAAAAAAAGGATAATGGAGCACAATATTGGCAAGCACAGCAGCTGGACCTGTCCGCTTAGGAGAGCAAAGGTAAGGAAAATGGAATGTGAAAGGTTTGGTTACTGGGCTTCCTTGGCTGTCAAAGTAAACAGAAATCTGTCCAACATGTCTTATACATTAAACATGGCAAAAAAAAGCTGAAGTAAACTATTCCCAAGATAAACATTCTGCATCATAGGATCCTTCTGCTGAACAATCCCTGTGAAACCTGCCGAGTGGAAGAAGTGATCCTGAGGATAGTTATTTGCTTGGTTGTCTGGAATGTTTATTTCCTGATAGGCTCATTGTCCGTGACCTCTGCCTGAGCACGGGCTTGGGGGGCAGCTCCAAGTCTTCAAAGACAGGATTTTCTATGATTGCTGCAGCCTCTGGGCGTTCAGTGGGACTTGGAGAGAGCATGTCCTTCACCATGGTGTACTGGAAGAAAAGACAACACATGTTACATGAACCAATCCATAAACTCCTCCTCATTTCATGTCCTGGCCTCAGCTGTGGCTGTGTGAAGTAGTGGAAAATAACCCCAGCTGCTTTCTGAGTGATTTGGGTGTTATTTGGCTCAGCAGTTAGATGTGCAATAAATATTTTAAAATGTATCACTGTGCATCTCTTAAAAGTGTCTTTACTGTCATCGGAGTCAAGGTTTAATAGGGTTATAAAAAACTTCACATTATTTGCAATCAAAATTAAATATATGATGCATAATTTATATGTAATTTTTAGATTCATGTTTAGCCATCAGATATTTAGCCACACTGAATTTCTCTCATGGCAAATCATTGTTTTTCCTTTAAATGTACAACTAGTCTGAATATTTGTTTCAAATTTATTCAGAATTAGTGTCCTGCTCCAGCTGAGCACAGCACAGCCCCTTCTCCCAGGCAGCTTTCAGCTGTAAAGCAGGAAAGGCTGGTCTCATTTAGCCATTGGTCTGAAGCCACCCTGAACACCTGAAAGCACCTCAGCTTTTTACTGGGGAGGTTTTGGACATCACCTCCTCTTTATCTGCCACCAAGTCACTTTACAGACCTGACTAACGAGAACACAGCACAATTCACTCATGGTGATTTCCCTCCTGGGAGGTCCAGTTCTGGAGGGGATCCCACACAGCCATGGTGCTACCTAGAGCCTCTCCTTTACCTGAAGCTTTGCATTTTCTCTCTGGGAATATGGATTTGTAGCAGGAAACCATGACAGGATGTATGTGAAATGAATGGCTGTAAGCAACAAAGGGAAGCCAGGTAAAAATGTATTCCTGGAGGAACACTGGGACAGGAGTGTCATTGTGCCCATTATTGCAAGGTTATAGCTTTGAAATGTAGACAAGTACTGGGATAGGGAAATGCACCTTGATAACCTGAAAGCTACCTGGTTTCTCCATTTTCACCTACAAAGCAACTGGAAAGCAAAGGAAAAAAGCTGCAATTATTAATGAAAAGGCTATAATTAATACATCAGCTGTACCTACCTCTTGTGCATATTTCTGAGTGAACAATGGTGGAAAATTCAAATTTCGAACATCACTTAAAGTCTGCAAAAATATGAAGAATGACATGTAACTTTTCCAAAATATCATTCCTTAGTAATATCAACCTACCCTTCAAAAACATGCAAATTATACTAAGAAATGAGCCTGCTGGAAAGAAAACCCTTTGTTTTAAAGTGTTGCTTTAGTGGTTAAAAGTCACAACCTAGCTGAACAGGTGAGCTGCTGCTTCCCTAGGTATTGAGCCTGCATTGGGAGGAGTTGTGTTACAAGAATTGTGATTTCTGCAGTTTTAAATCAGTCAGATACATGAACCTGAACTTTCTCACTTTAGCTGAACAAAATCAGCAAATCTGTGCACCACAGGATGGCCTACACCAGTATTAAGACACATGAAATTATTGTCTCTGCATTACCAATATAAGCACCTGTCTTTGTTTAACTTTTAAGAAGGAATGAGAAGATTTATCAGCAGTTGTGTTGGGTATTTCTGTGCTCCTTTCATACAAAGGCCACTGGCTCCATCTAGTGACAATGTTTTTCCCATGTTCAGTATTTAGCACTTCAAATTTCTTGGAAGGATC